AATAGTTTGACTTAGCGAATGTCCGAGTTATGCGAAGTTCTGGGTATGTAGAGAGTTCAAGGGGAATTGAAAATATGTTGATTATCGACTTATCCAAGGTCCAAGTTAACGGGATTCTACTGTATTTTTTGTCATTAAATATAGTAAATATAGTATTAGTTCTAATGGGCTGACATTTATATTTATTTTGTATCAAAATTACCTTTTTTAATGAGTTATTTTAATTTCATTTCTACATCTCAATAGGCATCAACTCCGATGGAAATTGTGCTTCAAAGTCTTACTCACAAGCATCCGTTAGTCATAGCTTTGGGTACTCATTGCAGTGTCGGTCAATTATTTATTGTTACAAAGTGTCGAGCTATTCCTGTCAACAGATGTATATCTTATGCTGTTGACATCTTAATTAAACTTTATTTTTAATGAACATGGAGTATGCGGAACAATGTAGCCACATATTGTACTTTTTGCAGCATACCGTGTTAGGTTACCAAGATGAAATGCATCTATCGAGAGGAGTGAGTGACTTGTCCCTTTACCTTAGACAAAAACTTAATCAATTTTATACGCAGAAACAATTATATTTTGGTTATTATTTGCTATATGCATTGTTATTGCTATATTGCGTAAATTTGTATAAATTATACTTTTAAATATATTGACTTTCTGAAAATAAAATATCGTTTTTACAACTAAACCGTGTTAATTTATAATCACGATTTTGAATTTTTACTATCTTCAGGCCTAATAAAAACTAATACCGCTTTTATGCTTAAACCAAGTTAGTTTATAATCGCGATTTGGAATATTTACTTATTCAGGCAAAATACCTGAACTACTTCGTGCCGTATGGAACCAGACGAACATTCAGGTAAAATACCTGAACCTGAACTGGTTCAGGTTCAGGCATAATACCGGAACCGAAACAGTTCAGGTTCAGGTAAAAATCCTGAAACAGTTCAGGTTCAGGTATTTTACCTGAATGTTCGTCTGGTTCCATACGGCACGAAGTAGATCAGGTATTTTGCCTGAAATTTCCGTCAATTTACCGGAAATTTTTTAAGAGTGTATATATATATATATATATATATATATATATATATATATATATATATATATATATATATATATATATATATATATATATATATATATAAGTGTGTATGTGTGTGTATATATATTTGTGCGCATATATATATATATATATATATATATATATATATATATATATATATATATAACTGTGTATGTGTGTGTATATATATTTGTGCGCATATATATATATATATATATATATATATATATATATATATATATATATATATATATAGAAGCGATAAATTTTGTGTTTAAAAATTTCTTTTTTTCAAAAAACTTTTTTTCTTAATCTGTAGTTTAAACACCTTAAAATTATTGTTAAAATAAATTTTGTGTAGAAAATATTTGAAACGAGTAGATAAATTTGATGAATGTTAACAGTTGGTTTTTCTTTTTATTATTCAAAAAAGTGAGAAAATTTTGAGGGCAAGTTATTGCAACATTTTAAACAAAACATATCCATATTTTTGTTTAGAAAGAATCTGAGATAATATACAGTATTGGACAAAACATTTGCAACCAACATCGAATGATGCTAAAAAGTGTTCCTAATTTTACATGTCTTAAAAACGAAACGAACTATACTACCACAGCAAACAGTTCAGGAGTCTGGAGTCATAGCATGCCATGACATGAGCAATCAGCTGACAGGTGACAGCACACAGGCAGAATTTTGTTGACAAGTGCCATTTTGCAGTGGACAAAACAAGTGCGACTTTTTTGGTTTGTTTCATTTCTTTAAGTCTGGTCCGTGTCAAGTTTTTTAATAATTAAAGGAAGTATCCAGAAGTTCAACATCATTGGGAGCGATGGCATTTGCCGTGTACGTCGACAGGCCAGAAAACGCCTCGATTTACGTTACTGCCATAAGACCCTGAAGCATGGTGAAGGCAATGTAATGGTATGGGGGTGTTTTTCTGCTAACGGTTTAGGTCCGATACATCGAATCGATGGAATAATGGAACGTTACATGTACAAAAATATCCTGAAAGATGTTATGTTACCTCATGCTGAATGAAATATGCCAAGAAAATGGGTTTTTCAGCAAGACAATGATCCGAAACACACTGCAAAAATAGTCAAGCAGTGGTTTCAAGACAACCACTGCTTGACTATCGGTGATGGATTAACCGCCTCAATCTCTAGATCTCAACCCTATCGAGAACCTGTGGGAGATCATCAACCGCAGAATTAATCATGAAGGTGTTCGAAATAAAGGTCAACTGTTTGAACAAATCCAAAAGACCTGGCCAGCGATTCCACAAAGTTTCACTGATCACCTGATCGAATCTATGCCTCGAAGATGCAAAGCTGTGATCGACAAAAAAGGATTCAGTACAAAATATTGATAGCGAAATACAGATTTGTCAACATTTTGTGGAGTTGCACTTGTTATGTCCAGAAGGAAATCAACTTTTTTTAATACTTATGATTAATTTATTAATTTTCGTGTACAAATAATGAACTTTGTGATGAATAAAACTTGAAGAACGCTGTCTCTACATAGTTATTTCTCTAAATTGAAAAAATGCAGCACTTTTATATAAAGAAACTAAATTAGCATTATTTGGTTGCACTTGTTTTGTCCGATACTGTATATATCTTGAGTAAAAAAACTTTTACTCTTTAAAAATAATTCAAGTGTTTTTTTGTCACATACACATTTGCAAAAAATAGGTTGTGTCACTGATAATGCATTTTATAAAATAGCGTGGTAAGAAAGTCAAAACATCATCCAAATATTCAGATTTCGTTGTGGGTTTTGGTTGAACAAATTTTGCATTTTAGAATTGTGAAGGGCTATTAGTAAATATTTGTAAATTATTGGATTTATGTTGGCATTTTCTTATAAAGTTTTAAATGTTTTAAGAAATGGAATCAAAATTAGAAGTAAGAAAAAAATTGTTTGCAGAATACCAAGCTAATTATGTTTCTCAGAATGCCGATAAAAAGAAAGAAATATCCACAGTAAGATCTAAGAGATATCGAGAAAAATTAAAAGCCGATCCTAATAAAAAAGCAGCTTATGCTGCTAAATCAAAATTAAGAGTTGTAAAAAGTCGCGCTCTAAAAAGGAAACTTTAAAATCTCAAAGACTATGCTCATCTTTTAAAAACGTTCAACAAAGAGGAAAAGCATTTAAAAAAGTTTTAAAACTATTACCAACTTCAAAGAAGAAACAATCTGAAATTCTTTTTATTCTTTTAAATAGCTCTGCTTGTAAAGATAATTCGGGTCTTCCTCCAGCATGTTCAAAGCTGTATGGTCTTTCTGAAAGCAATGTTTTAGCAGTTGTAAACTTTTATAATGAAGATGAAGTTTCCCAAATTTCATGAAACTAAAAAGATATCACTCGAATTCAATTATCTGACGAAAAAACAAACAATATTCCATAACTTCATTTGTATTATACGCTAAAAGAAGCTTTTGAGTTATTCAAGGAAAAGCATCAGGACATAAAAATTGGACTCAGCAAATTTTGAGACCTTTGTCCACGCAATGTGAAATCTGTTACAAAATTTCAGCATAATATTTTTGTTTGTAGTTTGCATGAAAATATGTGATTTGCCCTAGACGCATTAAAAAAATCAATTCAAGCATTTGAAGACACTTGAATTGATTTTTTTTAAATATCTGTAATTCATGTCAGAAAATGAATCAAGACAACAAAAAAAAGAAGATTCAGTTCAATTTTAAGCTATTCAAGAAAAGTCAAAAATATATTAAAATCACATTTTTATGTGCAGAATGATAACCTTGTTCCGATGCTATTTTCACCTGAGTATAATTAAAATTTATTACAAAAAAACAAAACTTTTAAAAATATATTTAATTCCATTTTTTTTCTTCTTCTGAAAAAAGTGTTTTTTTATCAGCATACTTTTAAATGTTTTCGCTGAAATTTTAATTCTTGATAAGCTAATTAGATTTTTTTGTTGTAAATTATTCATTTGGCAATAAAGCAGCCATGAAAAAAGCCACAAACAACTAAGTTTTCATAACAATTTATTTTACAGAAAAAAAACTATTAGTTTAGTGACACAATATTCAGTGACGAAACAAAAAAATGGAATTAAATTCATTTTAAAAAGTTTTGTTATTTTGTAATAAATTTAAATTATACTTAGGTGAAAATAGCATGGGAACAACGTTATCATTCTGCACATAAAAATGTGATTTTAATATATCTTTGATTTTAGCACTTATAGTTGAAATTGTGCTATCTTCGAAAAATATACAGTCAGCCCCGATTTATCTCCTGCTGAATGAGAACTTGAGCACCACCTGCATAAGGATCGAAATACCTGCATTATAAAACTTTGCTCTGAAAACCCTAAAGCATCCTTTTACTGAGTGCCCAATTTCTTACTGACTCAAACAATGATATTGTATATTTGACTGAAACATAGTTAAACATAACTAAAATACCAAAAACATTATCCTTTCACAAACAAATGAGAATTGCAACTATGCTAGTTCAGAACTAGATGACCTCAGTATTAATAAAATAAGATCCATGAACTAAGATGGATTAATCAGATCAGCGTTAATAAAAATATATTTATGAACTGAGATGACCTCAGTATTACTAAATATGTATCCATAAATTGAGATGGCCTCAGTATTAATAAAACAGACTGCAAGTTGTAAATTCATTAAATTAACTAACAATTCAAACAAAAATATTATAGTAAACATTTTAATTCTAGTGGTAGACAAACAGCTTTTAGTTTAAATACAATTCTGTTAAAAAAAAATATTGGTAATAGAATTGTGGACAAAAATACTTACAAAACACAGGTACTGTTTTTGTCCACAAAAAAAAACATTTATAATGTTTTTTTTATAAAATAAAAAAAAAAAATAAAAAAAAAAAAAATTAACAAATATTAAAATAAAACCTGGCCAGCCATCATTTCATACATCACTACACCTAAGGCCCACCAATCAACAGATGCACCATAAGGTAGATCACATACAATCTTTAAAAAACAACAACAGATGCATCACACAATATTAACGTAAAAAATTCAAAACATTTTATACAGTTTACTACTTACTTATTTTACACAGTTTCATCTTTACTTCAAAAAAAAAAAATAATAATAGATTTTTTAGTCATAAACTAAAAAATCTAAAAGAAATAAAAAATTTGTCTACAAAAAAAACACAATCTTTTTTACTCTGCTTTATAGTTATGTATATTTTATTCGTTTGTAGATTTATTTTTTGTTTATTTGTTTATTTGTATATATTTATGTATGTTTACTTTGTTTATGTGTACTGGTTTTCCTACTGTTTTACTTTAAAATAGTATACATTAAAATTAAACTTCTAAAATTAAAACATTCAGTTGGAATGTTTACAATGTAAAGTTAAAAATCAAAAATTTTATTTATTTATTATATTCAAAATAAAATTTTATTTTTAATCATTAACTTTTATACCTCTGGTGCAATGTAGTCAGGCGTTCCACAAAAGGTTGAGGTTGTATCAGATGGAGCCATTTTATCTTTGCACATGCCAAAATCTGCTAACTTAACATGTCCATCACTGTCCAATAATATATTATCGAGTTTAAGATCTCTATAAATAAAAAAATGTTTAAAAATTTAGACAATAAAAAAAAAAAATTAATTTACTTCCTAAAGAGATTACTAAGTAAAAACAAATTTTTGTTTGAATGGAAAAATAAGTTTGAATGGAAAAATAATAAATTTGAATGGAAAAATAAGTTACATATAGATTATTTTAGCACACTGAAATATAACTCTGTATACCAATAACAAATCAACTCATTAGACAAGAAATAAAAAAATTTAACATTATGCAAAAGAAAAAAGTTTATATTGGTAAGACAATGCTACTTAAAGGGATCCCAAACCTCAGAGACATGTTTATATTAAAGAGAATGATTTTAAAAAATGTTTGGGGTAAATTTTTTTGATTAAAACAAAAGAATAAATGCACATCAAGAAAAACTATAGATTCAAATCAGAAAATGATTTGAATCTATCTGGCTTTGCAGTTACATAAACATTGTTGATAATGAAGTAAACACTGCTTACTTCATATCTTTGTGCACTTTGTAACTGATTATAAACATTGTAGATAAATCAAGAAACACTGTTTACTTGATGACTTATCCGATATATCTATTTTACTTCATGATTCTGGTGAATTAAAGTAAATATTGTTTCTGATGAACAAATCATGAAGAAAATATTGTTTCTGGTGAACGAATATAAATCTAGTATCCATTTTGTGTACTAAAAAATTTCTACTATAAGAAATTTTAATCTGTGGACAAACTGTATTAAAATAATTTTTTTTCCTAATGAAAATAATAACTAATTATAATTTTTAGTTATGAGTAAATATAGACAAGGTTTTTGGCTAATTGTCCTCACTTTAGTTTGTCTTTAATTTTACTGAACTTGTTTTAATGATAACAATTTGTTTAATGATAATTTGTTTCATGATAATAAATTTTATAATTATAATAACTTGATTAATTGTTAAACATCTAAGCATGTAAAATATAACTGATTCAAGGTTTAAAAAAAAATTATTGTATTTGAAATACCTTTTAAAAATATTTTTTTAAACACATTTCACATTTTAAATCAAACTGGGTATTTCAATTGATGAGATTTTAATGTATTTACTGGGCAGTTAGTCAAAAAAAACCACTGATAACATTATAAACTACCATCTAAGGTTTAGAAGCTTCTCCTACCCATATCAGGCCTTGTTATGAGATTTTGTTGCATAACAAAAAAGCCTAATGCATATAGACATAACTCAACTTAGCACTTTCATATTCATATTGTTAAAAGTTTAATTGCATATTTGAAAGCATCACTTTGTGATTAAATTTTATTTCAAACCATGTTCAAAATTACCATAACAATAAACTACAACGAAAATTCTCAATGAAATCAATTTAGTATTTGAAAAAGATTTTCTTATTATTTCTTAAAACAATCTTATACACAACATCTTTTGTTTGTTTTATCAAAATTTGGTTTTCTTTATTTTTATGTTAGGCAATTGTTTAAGGGCAAATTTCTTGATTGTGATTTATTTAATATCAACTTTTATCAGCTTAGTGTAGTACTTTAAAAATAATTATGACAAACAATAAAAAGAATGATTGAAGCATTTAATTCATAAAGATTGCCTGCAAGCAAAAAGTTAATTGTTAGTAGTAAGTAATATTATTCAAACAGTTCCTCATTATTGTAGAAACAGATTGGGGCTCACAGTGGCTTAAAAATTTTCAGATAAAAACTCAGTTATCTATTGCAAACAACTGTCAACATTCCTATATTGATGAATGGCAACCCTCTCACTGAGTCATCTCCTTTACGTCTTCTTGGAATATCACTTACTACTGACCTTTCATGGAAACCATATATACAATTGATTGCTAAATTAGCATCTGCTAAAGTTGCATCTCATTTTCTCTTTCGTGAATCCATTCTCTACCTCTACAAATCTCTTATTTGTCTTTGTATGGAATACTGTTGTCATATTTGGGCTGGTTCTACTAATGATACTCTTTCTCTTCTAGAGAAGGTCTAAAAATGCATTGTAAACATAGTTGGACCCAGTTTATCTGTTACGCTTGAGCTTCTTTTCCATTGTTGTTAAGTTGTATCTCTTTCTCTTTACAACAAATACTATCATGGTCGCTGCTCAAAGGAGCTATCATCTCTAGTTCTATTAATTAAAATTTATTCTCCCATGACTCGTTATTCATCAAAGTCTCATTCTTATACTGTATCTGTCCCTGCATGCTCTAAAAACTTCTATTCATCTAGTTTTTTTCCCCGCACTTCAATCCTTTGGAACTCTCCCATCTTCAGGCTTTCCTGACTCATACAAGCTGTAACTTTTTAAGTCATCTGTTAACCGTTTGCTTTATAACTCTATTCTTTTTTTCTAGTAACTCCAAATTAAACAGTGGTTGTTTGCAGTCTTGTTGGGATTGAATCAGAATAATAAAAAAAAAATAAAGGAAAAAATCCGTAAAAGAATCAAATTGCACAGAAAAATTAAAATGCTAAATATAATGATTTTTTTTATAGCTGTTCTCTTCCACTTGTTGTAATTTCATTTACTTACATATAATTTCATACAAATATATAGTTTTAAATTGTGGTTTAATAAAAAAAAACATCAAATGCTTTAAAACAACTTGACTATAATAAAATTTTTAAAGCATTTTCTATAACGCAGTTTGGGAACTTTTTAATTAAAAAATAATTCACTTAAATATGGTTTTTTATCAAACAAACAAATTTACAATTATGGTGAAATTTTTTTTGCAATAATTAAAACTAAATGTTTTCTAAATAAATGCTACTTTGCAACTGTGTGTTTTCTAAACAAATGCTACTTTATCTAAATATTCCAATAGTTAAAAGTTTTGGTTTAATGTAAATGGCATAACTAGTAGCTAAAATTTTAAAATAACAAGGCCTGCCATTTTTAAATTGGGGTTTTTATATCAGAGTTTTTCTTATCTTAAGTAAATTGTCTCCATTATAGCTAAGGGGCCTCACCTGCCTAAATTATATAATATTTACCTTTATAAAAATAAAATAAACCTGTAAATGATGCCATTTTTATGAAGAAACTGCAAAGCAAGCGTAATTTCTGCAGCATAAAATCTAAAAAATATTATTTATATTAATATAATAATATAAAAATGAAAAACGATTTCTTCAATAACAAAAAATAAAAAATCTATTTCAAAAAAAAAAATCAAATAACCTTGATCTGTTTTCATCAAACTTTCTAGCTTTTTGTATTTGAAACATAAGATCGCCTCCATTTACATACTCCATGACAAAAAAAAGTCGTTCCTAAACAAAACAATTGTATTTGAAACATAAGATCGCCTCCATTTACATACTCCATAACAAAAAAAAGTCGTTCCTAAACAAAACAATTGTATTTGAAACATAAGATCGCCTCCATTTACATACTCCATAACAAAAAAAAGTCTTTCCTAAACAAAACAATTGTATTTGAAACATAAGATCGTCTCCATTTACATACTCCATTAAAAAAAAAGTCATTCCTTAACATTTAATAATTTACACCATCCTAATGTAGTGATAATGTACACCTTCCTAATGTAGTAATAATGTACACTTTCCTAATGTAGTGATAATTTACACATTCCTAATGTAGCGATAATGTACACATCTGTGATAACCTTCAGTGATATCCTTCCTAATATCCATTCAGGTATAAAGTAGGACAAATTATTTATTAACTAAACTCAACTTAACTTAAAAAACATGATAAAGCTATTACTAATAAACAATAATGAAACTGAACTTAATAATAAAGGAAAATAACTTTTTAATAATAGTGAACAATAGTCACAATGAAAGATAAAAAATAAAAAAAAAGGTTTTTAAAAATAACCGGTGTTTGAAAGCAGGAATGAAGCGAAGTGAGGTAAGGGTGCTGGCCACTGATGGTTAAAACACGCTTTTCTGTTTGTACGCAATCGACATCGTCATCACGTATTATGTTTATCTTTTTTAATATTTTTATAGCGAACAGTTCAGAAGAACCTTTCCTTTCTGCCAGCATAACCTTATAAATTTAAAGAAAAAAATCTAAGAAAAAATCAAAAATATTATTTATATATAAATAATATTTTAAAAATATTGATAAAATCCTTTCCAAAATAAAATTTTTTTAAAAACCTTTCCAAAGCTTCCTTTACCAATAACTTTTAAGAAAGTAAAAGAGTCAAGTGAATATTTTGTTTCTGAAGCATCTTTACGACATACGTCAACAGGTGAAGCAGTGATATCTTGTATACTTGGTTTAGTTTTATCGTGTGTGATGCAAGTTGTTCCATTTTGTGTATGCTGCTAAAGATATTTTCATGAGGTTATTAAACAGTAACACACAGTAAAAACTTATTCTGTTCTGCTAACATATTTCAAACCTTGAACATTTAGACTTTTTCTATATATTTTACAAAACATATAGAAAAATCCATAAATATAAATACAAAAAAATTGTTTTAAACTAAAAAGCTTTTTTTGCTCTATAATCAAAAATTATTTTGAGATTTAAAAAAATCTATAATATATAATAATAATGAAAATATCTAATAATATAGAAATATATAATATATATTAATAATATAAAAAATATAAAAAGTTCAGATAATTATTGCAAGTTTGTTGTTATATTTTTATATTCATGAAGGATTGTATTTTTTTTATACAGTCTGCTGCTTCTCGATTGCTCAAAGCCAAAGAATAAAATTGATGTAAACAATTTAATCAAAATGAGTTATCTGAAAGTTCTTGATTAGCTGATAATAAAACTTTTTTTTTTTAAATTTTAATTCACTTTAAACAAGGCTTCGAGCAACCACTATTAAGTTCGGAGTTACTAGAAAAAAAAGAATAGAATTATAGAGCAAGGAAACGGTTGACAAAAGACTTAAAAAGTTAAAGATTGTAAAAGTCAGAAAAACACAAAGATGGGAGTGAGTTCCAAAGAATGGAAGTATGGGGAAAAAAACTAAACAAACAAAAGTTTTTAGAGGATGCAAGGAGAGATACTGTAAAAGAATGAGACTTTGCTGAATGACAAGTCATGCGAGAATAAAATTTAATTAATAGAACTAGAGATGATAACTCCTATGAGCTGCGACCATGATAGTATTTGTAGAAAAGAAAAAGAGATACAACTTAACAACAATGGAAGAGTAGCTCAAGCTTAACAGATAAACCGGGTCCAACTATGTTTACAATGCAATTTTAGACCTTCTCTAGAAGAGAAAGAGTATCATTAGAAGAACCAGCCCAAATATGACCACAGTATTCCATATAGGGACAAATAAGAGATTTGTAGAGAATGGATTCAGGAGAGAGAAAATGGCAAGCACAATGAGAAGCAACCTTAGCAGATACTAATTTAGCAATTGATCTTATATATGGTTTCCATGAAAGGTTAGTAGTAAACAATATTCCAAGAAGACATAAAGAAGAGGACTCAGTGAGGGAGTTGCCATTCATTAATATAGGAATTTCAACAGTACTGCAATAGTTGTTTGTAGTAGATAACTAGTTTTGTTGGAATTAAAATTTGCAAGCCACTATGAGCCCCAATATGTTACAGAAGTGAAATCAGACTCAAGATCGGCTGCCTGTTCTAAGCGACCGTAAAGAGAAGACTTTTTTTCAAGACAAGAGTATAAAGTTGAGTCATCAGCAAAAAGAGGTGCTTTAGATGTAAGGTTGTCAGGAAGATCATTAATGTAGATAAGAAACAAAATAGGACCAAGGATAAAACCTTGAGGCACCCCTAAAGTTACGTAAATGAAGGAGAGTGTTGGCCTTCAAGAATGACTTTAATAAAGCGGTTAGAAAAAAACAATTTAATAATCTTAAAAATTTTCCCAGATACACTAAATGAAACAAGCTTATGGAGAAGATCAGCATGCCAAACTTTGTTGTAATCTATAAATATGTCAAGATCAAGAGCCTTTCTAATGCCTCCATCTAATGGACAATGAAATTTTTCAGTCACAGCAGTTAGCAAGTCAGCTGTAGATCAAGAGGATTAAAAACTGTATTGATTGTCTGACAGTAAGTTATTTGACTCAAGATAGGATGTGAGAAATTTGTTTATACAAGACTCAAAAACCTTGCTAATAATAGAAAGAAGATTGATGGGACAATAATTGGAGAGGTCAGAATGTTTACTAGAAGTTTTAAAAATTGATTTAACAGATGCCATTTTCCAGCAAGCAGGAAAATAAGATTCAGTCAAGCACTGTCTTATAAACTCTGGAAAGTTTATAAGACTAAGAAGTCTGCACCACCAGCTGTAAAAGAGTTTAACCAAGATATGACTTTAGCGACGGAAGCTAGAGTGATTTAACAACAGGATAACCTGTTTAATTGGAATGAAAGGAAGAGAATGGCCATAAGATTTGAGAGTTGAGTTAAAAGAAAAGTTTTTTGGAAATAGTTCCACCTTATCTTTAGGAGAGATAATAAGTTCAGTCTCATGAATGAGAGATGAAATGTTAAACATATCTTTGTTAACGACACTGTTGAAGATTTTTAAAAAGTCTCTAGAACCTAATTTCTGAGATAAGGTACAAGATAAGAGCCTAACTTTTGAGATATTTATGAGATTTAGTGAACTGAGAATAATAAAAACTTAACATCTGACAGCACCTTTTTACATCAATTTCTTGCAATAATAATCATGCAATAATCATTCATATGATAAAGAATCTCTAACACCAACAGATGGTTATTATGCTACAGTCACAAAAAACAAACTATTCTTAAATTCATAATTCTTTTTAGAACATTGATTTTGTTTTGCAATTTTCTGATTATGCAATATTCTGATTGCAATATTTCATTTGATTGCAATATTTCATTTGATTGCAATATTTCACTTGATTGTAATATTTCACTTGATTGCAATATTACACTTGATCGCAATATTTCACTTGATTGCAATATTTCACTTGATTGGAATATTTCACTTGATTGCAATATTTCACTTGATTGCAATATTTCACTTGATTGCAATATTTTACTTGATTGCAATATTTTACTTGATTGCAATATTTTACTTGATTGCAATATTTCACTTGATTGCAATATTTCACTTGATTACAATATTTCACTTGATTGCAATATTTCACTCGGACAACATAGGATTTTGCATTTGATACTTTGCAAAGGAAAAATATGACCATCTTGAGTTTGAACCTTGGAAAAATAAAAAAGAAACAATGACCAACCTCATGGTAATTCATGAACCTTGCAGAAGAATTACCTTGTTTTCTCTAAAATTAATTGTATAATTTCTGTGTTATCATTGGATTGTACATTTGTTAAGTTTCACATAAGTTTTTCTTTGCAATACAACAAACATTTTATGATAGCAAGTTAACATAAATCATTTTATTTTATAATTGAAACAACTTTAGAAAAATTCATAATCATTTTTATTAAACCTTACACAATTAACTGTTACATTCAGAGCTATATTGCTACTTTGTAACTTCTTCTTTTAACTTCTACTTATTTTTCTTAAACTTACTTGATTAGATAATCTGTCTGTTTTTTGTTTGTTTTTTAAATTTAACAAAAAATAAAATGATTTTAAAAAAATTTAACAAATGCTCATTAAAAAAGTGATTGAATCATACAGTGGAGGACAGACTAAGTCATTTACATACAGTGGAGGACATTTTTTTAAACCCAAGATTTACCTATTTATTTGATATTAGATTACCACCAGTGATCAACAGTAAAATTTTCTTCATAACTTTAAAGTTATAAACAAGTTATAAATCATTTTACATATTTATAATTTCATTGACATCCATTTTTGCATGAACTACTATTTTTGCATATTTTGAAAGATTTTTTCATTATCTTCAGACCAATATTAGATTAACATTATTAAAATAAAAGTTACATTAGTAATTTTAAAAAATTCCTTCAAGCATCAGTTTTATTAATTAATAAAAACCAAACATTTTAAATATTCAGATGTATGGATGTATAGTTGGACGGATGTACAGATGTACAGATGTACAGTTTTAGAGGCAAGTAAGCTAATAGATATATCAAATTAAAACATTAAAAAATTAGATACTTGATTGTTTTAATTTCAGGTTAATTTTTTTCTTTTGTTATGTCCCATTGTGCAATGGTAAATAATGCTTATGATTAACAATAATAATGAAATTTAGTTTTAATTAAAATTGATTGAAGTTATTATTGATTTTTAAAATTTTTCACGACAGAAGAACCATTACTTTTTAAAATTCAACTTTAATTTTCTGATTTGTATTTATTTTTTTTATAAATGACAATTTAAAAAACATATATTTTTATTTTGAGTTTATATTAAGGAGTTTATTACAAAGTGCGAAGTAAAAATAGATATATAAAAAAGTGAGGAAATTCCAAATAGAGATACTTTTAGATTGAAACTTTTAAAATTTTTCTGTAGGCCATCTTCTAAAACCTAGTTAAATTTATAAAAAAAGTAAAAAAACTTTAAAAAAACTTTTAGTTTCACTACAGATATTCAAATTCTTACAGAAGCACACATAGTTAAATTCTTACAGAAGATAAAAGAATTTAACTCTGATATATAATAGTTTAATGATTACAGGTCACAGTGGTCTGAAAAACTTGATTTTTGGTTAAAATTAAAAAAAAAAATCTGTAATTTTTTATTATTATTATTATTTTTAAACACAACATTATCAAGGCTATTCAAAAATATATAGGTTTCATATTTTTTCTTGAAAGAAAAGTCAATAACCCTATTGTTATTGACTTTTCTTTCAAGAAAAAATATGTTTAAAAATAATAATAATAAAAAAAATTACAGATTTTTTTTTTTTAATTTAATCCAAGAGTGAATAAAAATCGATGATTTTCATGCAGAGATACAACATTTTTTTTATTTGTCTATAAATTTATAACTATATGCACATATGCATAGATTTCTTTTTTCTAAACAAATTTTTTAGTATAGAGTTTACATTGAAATAATAATAATTTTTTATTATTGTATTTTTGCATTAGTTATTTATGTCTGAAATTAGCATAAAACAAAAGTTTTTTTTTTCAATTTCAACTTCTTTCTTAAACTAAAGTCCGCATGCATAGACTTACTAAAACTAAAGTCTGCATGCATGGACTTACTAAAACTAAAGTCCGCATGCATGGACTTACTAAAACTAAAGTCCGCATGCATGGAATTACTAAAACTAAAGTCCGCATGCATGGACATACTAAAACTAAAGTCCGCATGCATGGACTTACTAAAACTAAAGTCCGCATGCATGGACTTGATCGATATGATTTTATTAAATCCTAATATGCATATACTGTTTAAAAAAAAATCAGCTGCAAATAAAGTTGTTTAAACCAATTTTAAAGATGTCAAAATATTTTTTTTTATAAAAAATATTAGTGTCTCTATTTTTGTTTTATTTTATAAATAAATGTTCAAAAACATTTTTTTTCCTTAATGCAATAGTAATTGCTACCTAAATTACTAAAAATAGTTCAAATATTCATTTTTATTTTATTTTTATAAAATATTTCATATATTTAACTAGATTAAAATACTTTAAAAATGCATATTTTGGTATATTTTAATGTAAAATGCAAAGTCTAGCATATAGTATACTTTCAACATATAATATCGCTTAATAATTTCTAAAACAATAAGCTGCAGATAATTAAATACCACCCTCCCTTGCTGCAGCCCATATATATATAAATATATATATATATATATATATATATATATATATATATATATATATATATATATATATATATATATATATATATATATAAAATCAGTAATCAATCATAAAATTAAAAAAATCAAGAGGAGCAGCACCAGGCTCCTCTTGATTGATTATTCTATTTTTGTTTTTGGCTCACTCAAGGCATGAGCCAAATTCTTGACCACTCCACAGCTTTGTCTATGTCATCTTGTAAAATTGAACAATCATTTTCAGATTTGATGATGTCAATGATTTTGTTATCATCTGCATATAATTTGATGTGATGCGCAATTTTGTTTGGGAGATCGTTGATAAAAACAACAAATAATAATGGTCCTAAAACCGAACCTTGTAGAACTCCACTTGATACAGATACCCAACTTGATTTATGTCCTTTTATGACTACACGTTGTTTGCAATCTGAAAGTCACACTTTGATTCAATTCAACAATGGACCACATATACCAAGTGCCCTCAGTTTGTGTAGCAAGCGTCGATGAGGAACTTTATTGAATGTTTTGGTATAAGTCTGTATAAATGATGTCAGCAGTGTAACCCAGGTGAATGGCCTGTGTCAGGATGTCACAAACCAGAAGATTGGTTGTACAGCCTCGTTTGCGTACAAAGCCATGCTGAGCTTTTGAAAGCAATTTATTGACAACGCAATGAGACAACTCAATCATGAATAATTCCTTCTTGGATTTTGCAGACAATTGAGGTTTGAGATACCGGTCTGTAGTTCGAAGTATCAATTTTGCTTCCTTTTTTAAAAACTTGCATTATATTTGATTTTCTCTATAGATAAGACGGTGTTTTCAGTTGCAGTAGATCCGTCTGGCATTCTGAGGCACCTGTTACAATCTTGAACCTGTTGCTTATTTTGCAAGTGTGCATGAAGAAATTTTGGATTGGTTTTTTATTCTCTAACTAATTTGTATTTTTTAACAAAATTCATTGTATTTTTTAACAAAAATCTGGTAACTTTGATCTGTAGAACAACCATCAAAAACTTCAATCCAATTGATAGCTTTTATATGCAGAGATAATGACTCATAATCTACTTTACTCCAGATTAGATGCCGGTTATTTGATAACGCAGGAGTGTAGAGACCAGTCATGGCCATTGTGCCCTTAATAAGACAATGCAACTGTCCCATTAACGTGTGTCCAAGAGGATCAGACTCTGAAACATCATGTATTCTGGTTTGTTGCTGATTATTAGGTCAAGAGTTGTTTTTGGCAATACAAGATGCAATCGGTGGTATGTAGGGAAAGTTACCAACTGTTTCAAATGTGCTTCTGCAAGGCATTCTTGAAACTTTAAGTCTTGAGACCATTCATTATTCACATGGCCAGCAGTTGCCACTCCACCCCCAATATTAATAGGCTCATACCACGTGTGGCTAAAATTAAAATGGCCATAGAAAAGCATAGCTGTACAATTTTCTATAATTAGTGTGTTCTTTACTGTGGCTATATATGCAATGACTTTGTCAAGTACTATGTCATCATGATCATGAGGCCTGTAAATGCAGCCTAGTAAGAATGATTCGCTTCCGTACTTTATTATTCTTCACACTTGTTCTATTGAATTTGAATTTAGTTGCTTAATTCTGACTTCTGTCGTCATCATGTCGTCTTTCGTGTAGATGGCAACTTTGCCTCCTCTGCCATTTCTGTCAACTCAGTGAAGCTGATAGCCGGTGATAATTGCATCCGTTGTTTCATTGAACAATGTTTCGACAAAAAACATGATGTGCAGTCGGTTTTCTACTGGCGTAGCTGGTAGTCTTGCCTTTAGCTCATCCATTTTTGCGCTGTTTAGAGGGCATGGGTTGTTGGCCCAGAAGCGTAAATGAGTGGGTGTTGAAAATGTTGTGTTTCTAATGTACTTTTTTGTGAAGGTCTAGGTGTTTTGCTAATCTGACTTAGACCTGGATTTTGGTAGTTGTAGTCAAGGTGCAACTTGATCTAGTATCAGTGAAGTTGTTGGCTGCTGTGATGATAAGTTGTTTAACAGCTACAATAGCAGCTTGCAGTGAGGCAAATATGTATCATTTTTGCAAGTTTGATTGAACAATATCAATGTAGCAAATTCCACCAGTTCTACAGTGGATGACATTCTGAAAAGGCTGGTTTAATAGTCTGAGAGCATTCAACTTGTCGTTCTTTTTATTCAAAAAGACATGATCTTTATTAAATTTTGCTTGTTCTGCAGAAGTTCGGTCCTCTCGAGCAAAAATGCCCAGATACTCTTCGATATTATAGCGACTTGTATGATTGCTGCTTTATCTGTTGGAGTTGAGAGTGATACATGTATGGCATTTGAGATTTAGTTGTTTTTGCTAGATTTTATTCAGCGTATGTGGTTAACATTTACTGTTGGTAGCCCGACGGCTTCGAAAAATTTCATAACAGTGTCTTTGTCATTGTTGGTTGTGGATGAGGCAAGACCAATGACAATGGCGTTTGACTCTTTTTCCTTTCTAGATTTGTTATCGGCAGTGACAACTTGAATAAGCTGGTTAGGTTGTTTTGCCGTTTCTGGAGTTTAACCTTTAAGGATTGCTGAAAATGATAGTGTTGTTGTTTTGTTTGACTTTAGAGTTTTTATTTCTCCTTCTAGCAATTTTATGCTTTAAAGAAGTTGCTGCTTCGTATGCAACTTCTTTAAAGTTTATTCCTGAAGCCATATTCACATAGAAATCAATAAAAAAAGTCGTCTAATAAGCTTTAAATAGCTTTAGGCTTAACAAGTTTTTTGGAAAGTTTATACTTAATGGGGAGATTTAGTAACATAAACGTTATAAAAGTTACTATGTATAGTAGATAATAATAATAAAAATAATAACTATTATTATAACAATAATAATAAAATACTAAAAATAATATATTTCTAATCTTAACAAACTGCAGACAAACTTAATTACTGTTTAAGCACAAACAAGCAATATTACATTAATTAGCAAATGTCCTATATAATATTATACAAAACATAATACATCAATAAGCAAGAAAAACCTTAAAAGATTAGATAATAATTGCAACTTTGAACAAAATTCAAATTAAAAATTTAATAAGATAATTCACAAATCACAAATAGAATAATAGTAAATAAACCACACAAAATAGAACCAAAAATATTCAAATATATATAAATATATTATGATATAGCAACCAAAATATATAAATAATTCCAACTAAATATAAACCAGGAAAAAGGACAATCTTGAAAATATATATATATATATATATATATATATATATATATATATATATATATATATATATATATATATATATATATATATATATATGCGCAAAAAACGTTATAACTTATTATATAACTATACAAAATTAATACTTTAACAAAATAATAAACCTTAACTAACCTAGGAAAAAATGCCTGAAACAAAACTTAAACATTATACTTAAAAAGAGAGTACAATAATTTAGGAAAACAAAAATATAATAAATACTTGATTTAAAAAGTTAAATCTTGCTCTGAAAAGAACACGTTTAACACTTTGAAACCGGAAGTCGGTTATCAAATATATATATATATATATATATATATATATATATATATATATATATATATATATATATATATATATATATATATATATATATATATATATATATATATATATATATATAAATGTAATGATAGTTAACATGATAATGATAAGCAACATTTATACATTTGTTATAAATTAAGTTAAAATTAACAACTTTGGAAATAAATTAAAAGCTTACAATTATATTTGTAGGCTTCGGTGATTTCATTATATCATTAGCTGTTTTATTGTTTATCTCTTTTAATCTTTCAGCAAGCTCTCGTCTGTCCACACCACAGTCATTTGCAACATTTGCTTGACATCTCCTGTGTACATTAAGTGCACAATCTTAAAAAAAAAAAACACAAAAAAACAACAACTGGATAAAAATAAGGAGCAAAAACTAAAAAATCAAACTTTATACAAACCATATATAACCATGAAAACCATATATAAACAGTGAAAACTATGTATATAAATTTAAATAAAAACTTTTACATATGAAAATCATGAAAATATTTGATAATTTACTAACTTAACAACTTAACAAAAATCACTACTTTATAGTATCATTACTAAACTTTATTGTAACATTACCTTGTAAACTTAAACACATTTTTTGATTATTTGAATATTCATTACATTAACACTACCATTTATTGCCAGACAATTATACAAATTATAAAATCTTATCCACAGACAATTGTTGTCTACATTGAATAAACGTCAACATGTCTACATGTAAAATATTTAACCAAATTTTTTTTATAAATATTTAATCAAAGTTTTTGTACCAAAGCAGCATGCAAAAGAAATACAATCAATAAATATCTAACCACCATCAACACAACATTTGAAAAAGCAAAAAAGTTGTAAGAAATCAACATCCAGAAATCAACGTCTTTTAGAAATAATTATAAAATCAATATCTAGTATATCTTTTGCAAATAATTATGACTAAGTTCTAATTTGGAAAGTTAAAAACAATTACTTAATTTAAAAAAATTTAAACTTGCAATTAATGTGACAATCCATGCTGCACTCTGCATAGCAAGGTCTTGTGAGAATAATATAACCTGTACAAAGCTCTTAACTTGCATAATAAACTTACATAATTTAGTTTTTATTTTATATTTCCTCCTGTTGTTTTGAAAATAGAGTGCATTACACCTCAATTCTATAAAATGCTAGATAGGATGTAGACCGCATCATAGGGTTAAAGCTAATTGTATAATCCTTTTTTATTTACAGGATACAAAAACAACATTTAAATTTGTATTATTTTTTTAAAATAAAAATGAAAAAAAGTCTCTGAATCAAAAAAGGAACGCTAAGAAAAGTTAAATTTGTGTGAAATCTGGTAACCAATAGTGTGACTAATAAAGTATATAAACATTTATACAAATAACAACTAAGTTGTTGTTTGTATAAGTAATGCAATGTGTTGCAGTTGTAAAAACATTCTCTGCACAGTGGCCTTGTTTGTCAAGGTTCATGTTTTGGAGTTATAGATTTGATAAAGGTTAACCACAATTAAGTAGCCTCCTAGCCTGTAGTAGCCTTCTCAGCCTTGGTGAGGTGAATTAACATTAGAAAAAAAAAACTAACTAATGAAAAATAAAAAATAAAAACAAATAAATTTAATACTTTTACATTGAACACCTTGTTTTATAATACCATATAACAAAGACCCACAATGCTGACAAAATGTTGGAAATCTGTACGAATGTGTTTGGAATTTATGTGGGATATTTAAGCCATATCTCTAAAAAAAAATTTAGGAAATTTATTTCCACATTTTACAAAAAAGATTTAAAATAAATGCTTCATACACAACAAAGGTTTAACAAAATGCAACAATTTAGGTTACAAACATTAATATGCATCTTATCCAAACATAAATGTTTGGATAAGATGCATATTAATGTTTGTAACCTAAATTGTTAAATTTACCTAACTAACAGCAATTAAAAGCATTTAATTTCTGATTTCAATGTAAATGTAAAATGTAAAAAAAATTTTTTTTGCTTATCAAAAACCAAATATTGATCCCAAAAATAATTAATGTTAATTGGTATACCGCGTCGCAAACACTAAAATATATTTTATTGTTTCTAAAAAAGACAGATAAATTTTGGTATTGGCTGTTAGATCTTGTAACATTTATTAAAGTATAAAACATAATAATAAAAATTTCACAATTAAAAAACTAAATTATAGAGAAAACTCAGTCCTTTGCATTTTATTATTGTTTTATTTTTTTTATTTTTTCTCTTAAAAGGTTCTGAGTTGAATTACCACAAGAACTATTTGTTGCAGATTATTTAAGTTTGATTACATAGTCAGAAATGTTTGATTACATAAGTCAAATTGAACTATATGAGTCAAACCTAACTTTAAGTAACCATTTTGGATGACTTTTTAAAAGTAAAGCTAAACTTGTAATTTTTTAAATTTTCTGATTGATTAGTAGATTAAAAAAAAAATATCTAACTTACATAAGATGATGAAAATTTTTGAAACTAAAATTTACCTGTTCTGAAGATGTTTCCTCTTTTATTTTGACACCAGGACACTTTGAAACAATCAAATGGTGACATTTTTTATGAGTTACAATACTGCACACTAATAATATAAAAGGTTTTTTTTACAAAAAATTTTTTTTTATTAATTTAGTTTACTTGAATCTTATATAATTTCTTTTTTTTATATATATATATATATTAGCGAATCTCAAACTAGTGAACTTTTTAAACCAATTTTTTAAAATAAATTTATACTTATTGCTACTAGACACTAGATAATCTCGAGTCTCGATTTCTTGTCTGGTATCAATGCGATAACATACAGTATCGGTATCGAAATCACGCGATACTGGTATCAAAAGTATCATTAATGTTGGTATCATTTGGTATCACTGCAACACCATACAGTATCGATATCGAGATCATGCAATACTGGTATCGAAAGTATTGTTTATGTTGGTACCATTTGGTCTCCGTGCGATACCTTAGGGTATCGATATCGATACTAGTATCGAAAGTTATTGGTTATGTTGGTATTGTTTGGTACCGATAGTATCATTTGGTATTGTAACTTGGGTCATCATAAGAACTTCCTTGTTATTTTTATAAACGATTAGTAATTTGAAATAGTAAATTCGTATAATTAATGAGATATATATATGGCTCATTTATTATAAAAAAAAGTTCTCTAAGCTAGTTGTATGATATCATGTTTATCATTTAATTTCTCATCTGGTATCTTGGTTTTAATTTGAATAATTGTGTGGTACCACTTGGGTATTTTAATTTCTCATCTGTTATCCTTGAAAAATTTTCTACCGCGATTAAAAGAAAAGAAAAGATTTTTTTAACATTTATTTCTATATCAAATTTTTACAAATAATTAAATCATGTTAAACAGTGTGTAAGAAGCGAACAAAAAGGTAAGGGAGGGGGTATTTGGGGTAATTACCCCCTTCCCGTACCTATGAAATGTCAAACTTCAAAACATTATTGATAAAATTTTAAAAAATAAGAAAAAATACAAAATATTTATGTAAACATTCAATATATTTATTATTACTATCTTATAACCTTTGTAAATATCAAATGAAACAGTTGTTTTATTTTGAAAAAACGTAAACCTTATTTTTTATATATTTTTTGGTCCGACTACCCTAGAACAATGACCTGGATCAGCCCCTTCAATGTGTAGTTTCCTACATCGTTATTCCAACTCTATCGAATTTTTATTCCATTCAAGCAAAAATTTTCTGCGCGGAATTAATCCCCAAGGGAATTGCTTGTGATGCTTATTAGAAATGATTGTTCAAAGAGAATACATTTTGTAACAGTCACTACAAATATTTAATTAATTAAATTAATTGTGTGATATTGCATTCATATTTTAATTTCTTTTTTGGTACTTTAATTAAATCTCTAGTGGTATCTTAATTCTCGCCTGGTCTTTATTTTGTGTTCAACATTCAATAACTAAACTTTACTTTTAAACAATTAAACATAAGTATACTTTAGTTATTAAAGAAAACTAATCTTCACTCGTTATGCTTTTAACATTATCTTTAATCTGGGATTATTTCAAGAAAATTATAGGTAAGCACTAGTTACTAAGTATTTTTTATACTTTATCTCAAAAGGTAATTGCCGGCAATGTCAGGAAATAATTCTAAAATTAATTACCGGCAGAATTATTATTACAAATAATAACTTAACTTTAAAAAGTGTAACTTTGCGTGGCAAAGTGGATAAAGTTATGACATAAGCATGGAGTTCTAGGTTCAATTCTTTCATGAGAATTTACCTTTTTTTAATTTTTTAAACTAAAAATGCATTTTTAAAATACAACTATTATTGTTTATTAACTAATATGATTTTGAAAAAAAATCAATTTAATTGGTGGAGCAATAATTAATAAATCGCAATTTAGCACAGTGTGCTAAATTGATCATCAGGTTAAATGTCGGCCCACTCTGAATTTTTTTCTGTTTCATATAAAGATACCTATTAACTAATTGTAAAAAAAAAATTAAATTCACGCCTATCAAAGGGTCTTTTTTTGGTAATAACATTTCTGAAATTATTTAACTCTTTTGACATTTTTTAGAGGTAAAGTTTACAGTAAATGCCCCCTAATCTTAATTTTGCCTCAGGCCCCAAGTGAGTTCGAAGCCTCCCTCTCTATAAAATAATATTATAATAAAAAAGTAAAACCATTTTATTTGTATTTTACATTTTCTGGAGAATCTGCTCTGTGTAAAACTTGTGGAAATAAGCTTGCAACAAAGCAAGCAAATATTACTGGCTTGCAAAAGCATATTGAAATACAACATAGGAAGTTATTCATCAAACTTCAAAAAAAAGAAGACGAGCGGAGATCACAAGTAGATAAAGAACTAAACGTAATCGAGGCAGATGCTTCTGGATCCGCAAAAGATGTAGCCTTCAAAACTCTAACTCTCCCGAAGAAGGCTGTTACAAAAAAAGAGCTACTTCAAGATCGTCGTCATATAGTAGTTGATCATGACATTATTACTTTGATTGCTACTGAGTGCTTGCTGTTCAGTTTTGCTGATTCTGAAAATTTTAAGAGGTTTATGAACAAAATATTACCAAATGCCACAATAAAATATTCAACAACTTTCAAAAAATAAACTCCCTCAGCTTTACCATACACTGAAGGTAGTAATGCATGAAGTTATGCAAAAAGAGCTCATAGATCTTAATCAGGTTGCCATAACCACCGACCACTGGACATCAAGGGCAAATGATTCATACATGTCCGTGACATTACATTATATCTTGCCCTAAAAAAATTTACATTAGAAGTGTGCCTATTAGAGCAACACACTAGTATCAATATTGCAAAAGCACTTGATAACACACTCAAAAAAAAAATAAAAATAAAAATAAACTGTGTGTTATTGATCAGGCATCAAATATGACATGTGCTCTAAAAAACAGTGTCTTTAATAACTAAAGAAGAAGACTCTGTTACATGCAGTGATCACAAACTCAACACTGCACTTCAAAGAACAGTTGAGAGTACCCCGGAACTGAAAGATGCTTTTCTTAAAGCCAGCACACTTATTACCAGGCTTCATAAATTGACAGGCTTAAGTGCTTTGTTGAAAGATGCTTGTTCCAGGTTAGATGTGCGTTTCCTCAAAATACTCTCCACAGTAACCACGAGATGGAACATCCATTATGATATGTTGCACGCCATGATTTGACTGAAAGTTCACTCATATACTTACGTGATACAGAAGGTGATGATTGGAAGAAAACCGTACCTACAGATGAACAGTTCCTACTCTTTGAAGCTATTCAGTGCTAAAATCTGTTAAAGAATTATCAGTTTTTTTATCTTCTGACACAGAGATCCGAATTGACATGTCACTGTGGAAAGTAACAGCATTCATCAACTTCATTGAGAAAGAAAAAAATAATTATGTTACTCATGGAAACAACAAATTAGTAGAAAAATTCTTGGAGGACTTATTATCAGAACTAAATAAAAGATTCCCAGACAAAGGCCGTAAATTACTTGCATTTGCACTAGGACATTACCTTCATCCATTTTTTCATGGACATCTTCTTGATGTTGATAATGAAAATATTCATTAAAAAATATATATATAAGATCCAAAAATACAGGTAAAACTGACACCTTAGCCTGGTGGAATCAGCATGCAACAGAACTTCCTATCCTTTCGGGTGTTGCAAGATCTTGGTTGGCAACTCCACCAACCTCTGCATCATCTGAAAGAGCATTTTCTGCTTTTGGCCTTGTCATCACTAATCGTAGATACAATCGCCATAGTGACAAGGCAGATAAGCTTGTATTTATAATGCAGAACTATTCTGCTCCTGAAAATTACATCAAAAATGGCCCATTAAACCATTTTTATTTCTTTTGTTTCAATTTTATCGGTTTTTATTTTGTTTCAATAAATTGAAACAAAAAAAAACCCCGATAAAATTGAAACAAAAGAAATAAAATCCATGAAATTGAAACAAAAAATAAAATCAATAAAATTGGTATTCAATAATTTTATATTTTATTTTATTGAAAATTTCGAATAAATATTATTTATTTTCTTATTTATTTTTTCAAGATTCAATAATGCTTTTTCTTATTGATTTTTAAAAATTATATCAGATCATATATTACCATAACTAAAATAGACAATGATCATATCATCATAATTCAATAAGATAATTATCATATATTAAAATAAAGATTAAAAAGAAATTTAATTATAAAACAAAAAATAATTAATAAAATTTAACAAAATCAATTGCTAGATTTGTCTATTAAAAAAATTTGGAATATCATAGCAAAGTAAAACTTTATGTCTAATGGCTACAATTATAGTTTGTTGACATTAATGACAAGACTTTAATTACAACTGCTTGATATAAAGATTTGCAGCTCATCACAAAGCACGCTTACATCAGAGCCACGCATTTTAAAAACTCACCTCAAATATATGTATTCTAAAAATACTTCAAGGAACTTTAAAAAAATATAAAATATATAAAATAATTACTTGTACCTTGACATTGGTATCCTTGTTTTCCAATAACACCCCTAAACATATAAAAAAAACATTATATGTATTTTTGAAAAATTCCTTTTTTAATTTTCCTTCTGAACAATAAAATTGCTAAACAAATAACTCTTATTTTTAATAAAGCTGTTTATGTAACAAGCATTAAATCATACCATATAAATTCTTTACAGTGAGAGCATTAAAAAAATCATACCATATAAATTCTTTACAGTATTTATGTAACAAGCATTAAATCATACTATATAAATTCTTTACAGTGAGAGCATTAAAAAAATCATACCATATAAATTCTTTACAGTGAGAGCAGAATGTAAACTGACGCAAATATGTTGCCATAAACTTGTGTCCACCTATCTGATGAATGCGCCTACGGACAGCATTTCTACGCCCTCGTTTATTTAAATATGTACTATCTCTTTGCTTGAACTGATTTGAAGTTGCCCTGGGCTCCCCATCTAAAAAAAGTATTCCAATTAAATCTCTTTAAAATACTGAAACAAGAAACAATGATGCATTCTAATTGTTTGCAATTATTTTAAAATCTTCAAAAAAGATTTTTTTATATGTAAAACTTTTATTTTAAACTTTTTGTAAAATAAATAAGTTTGTGTGTCATAAATCGACGAACTTTTGCTTAAAAGTAATGAAAATAGGTTTTATTCTGATTAATTTTCAAAAATAGTCACCCACAACAGAAAAATTTTAAAATAGAATATAAGTAGTACTTGCAGGAAGTTGCATTGACTTAGAAAGTCATGATGCTAGAATTTTTTTTTTATGAAACTTTCTAGAAATTTCTGGATGTTTTAAGAAATCTTGAAGCTTTCTTCTAGAAGTTAATAGAAATTAAACTATAACGCTGCCATAATTGAGAATGCTAATAATTATATATGAATCTGTATTTGCCAGATAGCAGTCAAATAATATAGAAGTACGATAGGAATTACATTTATTATAATTGCCTTTCAGAAATATACTCAAGTATTATCTTCAATTGCTGATGAAAGTGCTTCCACTGATGAAAGAAACAAGATAAATCTTAATCAAAATTAGTAAGATCTTCAAAATTATCAACCAGCGAAGCAGCAACCATTTTTTAACAGTTATCTCAAGACAGAATCAACATTTCACCTTTACTGCCTGGTTTATTCAAATCAACAATTTAGGAAGCTGTTAAACTGAAAAGAAAAATAAAGAAAACAGCTGGTCATTGCACTTTGATGGTAAATGTATTAGTTGACCAAGAATACCAAATGTTGAAGAATATTAAACATTAGTGTTGACCAAGAATACCAAGTGTTGAAGAACTAAGAAAAGTTAAGTTACAAGCAATAGACAGACGGAAACTGTTGTTAAAGGTATAACAGGTATTCTCGATAAATACAATAAGATATGGAATGTATATGGAAGATGTATTATGGAAGATTGTAGCAGACTTCATTCGTTCTTTCAGTTATGAATGTAACTGGAAGAAAAAATGGGTTTGTCAGTCAGTTACAGAGACATTTTACTGAATAGAAACTGGAAGAAACACAATTCATTTGTTGTTAACATCATGAGGAAACATGTCACCCAATATTGAATATCTATTTATCCCGGGACATGTAAAGAACTAAGAATAGCTCAGGAAGAATTTTAAGAATAGTAAAGAAGTAATTACTAAAACAGCAGTTTGCAAATTTCTATTTCATTAAATTTCGATGAATCTGGAGTATTTCCTAAAGCAAAGTTTCAGAAATTAAATAACGCAAGATGGAATTCCTGAGCAATACTAACTCTTTTGGTATTTATTCTTCTACCAGAGAGAAGAGACTCACTTCTCGATATTTGTAGATTTATCTCTTACAGATGGGCAGACCATTGGTTTATTGACCAAATTTACAATGCAGATGATTATTGGAAGCTATGTAACAGCTTGCATGGTCACCAAAAAGCATTAAACTCAGTTAAGTATTTTTGGAATCAGAAACCATAGAGACTGGAAATTCCCAGAACAAACAAAAAAAGGTCTTCAAGATCATTTTGACATCTGTAAAAAGAAAGAGAACCTCCAGCTTGGATTTAATTCAGGGTTGGCAAAAAAACCCAACCCAAAAAAACCCAATAAAACCCAAAATATATTTGGGTTTTTTTAAAAATGTCCTATTCTACAACTGATAACTCTGATTTTAACACTTATAAATGCTTTATTATCAGCAAATGCAACTTTTATGCTGTAATTACTCTTGTAAACACTGCATTTATATACAAATTGGTATTTAGAATATATCCAAAACCAATCAACCTGTTTTTGTAGCAAGTTGCTTATCTATTATTATTTTTAAACATATAGCAAGTTATTATAAATATTATTGAAATATGAATTAAAACATTAAATTAGTTAAATACTAATAAAGGAAATAAAAATTATTCTATTAACTAAATTTCAAAGTACAAGACATTACTAGTTATTTAGTATCTTTAATCTCCTCTCGAATATCTATATTTCCAAACAAGCCTTCTATAGATGTCATTTTGTATTGGTATTTGATCTTTTATTTTTTAAAGCTTATGTTGTAAAATGTGAATTTCAGTACAAAGCTACAAGCAAAATACTATATATAAAAATTGTTAAACTTTATTCACAGTCTAGAAATGGAAAATTGTCAGGCAAAAAAAAAAAAAAAATCCTACAGTTTACTAGATTTGTCCTTATTAAGTGCTTATAACTTTAAAACATAAAAAAAATTATATTATGTGCAAGGAAGTTTCATTCAATGAGAGAACATGTTAAAAACTTGTATACAGTTTACAAGGACAAGATTTGTTGGTAAAAATGATTCTCATGCTCATCTGTCTATTTTACAGGTTTTGAATATTTTGCATCAGCTACAAGTTTACAACATGTACCGTCAACAGGGGTCATTATGAACAGCAGGTTGAAAATGAACATCAGCACCAAGTATAATGATATTTAAGGCTGTTTTGTATTGTAATAATAAAACAAAACTTATAATCGTAAAAGAGTACTCAATATTAAAAAAAATTTCAAATAGAGCAATATATATATATATATATATATATATATATATATATATATATATATATATATATATATATATATATATATATATATATATATATATATACACAAATAGTATTGCGTACTAAGGTAAGCAATCTGACGTCATACTGAAATAGCCTGCTGCTGGGGGCTTCAGTACATACATCGACTGACAAATAGCCTGACTCGCAGTGGAGTGCTGCTACATCGACTGAGGGTTTGGGATGGGGAAGCAATCGTTTTGATCATCATTCTTCATTTTTTCTTCTTCTTTTTCGAAAAAAATAGTATAGCTTAATTAAGCAGAAAAAGTGAGCAAATGCTTATCAAAACACGCTTTAGTAAGTGTGTATATATACACTTATAATAAAACCTCGTTTTGATGTTTTATGGTATGGACCTTTGTATTTGCCGACCTCAATTTTCCTAATTCCGAGGGTTGTGTATATATTTATATATATATATATATATATATATATATATATATATATATATATATATATATATATATATATATATATATATATATATATATATATATATATATATATATATATATATATATATATATGTATATAACAGAAGAGAGATCAGAATAAAAACTGGTTTGTTTTAAGTAATCAAAAACTGAAGATTTTTAATCAAGGCAAGAGTATAAAGTTGAGTCGTAAGCAAATAGAGCCATTTTAGATGTAAAATTTTCATGAAGATCGATATTGTAGATAAAAAACAATACAGAAGCAAAGATAGAACTTGTAGTACTCTTAAAGTTACTTGAAATAAAGAAGAGTGTAGGCCTTCAAGAATAACTTTATTAATGCAGTTAGAAAGAAATAATTAATTTCAAAACCTTTATATAAAGAAATTAATAACATAGTGAAGACTAATCAAATATCAACCCCGGTCGCTTACTAAATCTAAAAGGCACACCTATCAGAGAAACAAAATTGCAAAAAGTTTTTTTTTTTTATCTAATTTTGAATTCTTTTAAACTGCAAATTTTAATTTTTAATTTAAATTGATTTATTTTTAAATTAAATGTTCAAAACAATTTTTAATAAAAATTATACATAACTTCATTTTTTATAGTAATTTATATAAAACATTAGAAAATGTTCGCTTTGTTGTTATTTTAATTAGTTAAATCTTTATTTTAAATTCATTTTTAAAACAAATGTTAAAAAAATTTTTTAATAAAAATAATACACAACTTCTATTTTTATATATGTAATTCACATACAACATTACATAATAAAATGTTCGGTTTGCCATTTTTATTTTATTAATTTTACATTTAACTCTATTTTTTATTTCAAATAAAACGTTTTGTTATTAAGCCATAAAAAAAGGTTGTGGTGTAAAAAAATTAGGGGTGTCCCAGATAACATTTTTTATTTATCCAGCCGGATATCGGATACCCGGATATTTAACAATTATCTGGTCGGATATCCAGCCAGATACGGATAATGTAATTTAAATATTACATTAAGACAAAAGTTACCGTAAAAAAATTAGTTTAAAAATTAAAAAGTTACCTTTCAAAATGGCAAGCTTTGTTTGAAAACTTTTAAAAATTAGTGATAGCTGTGATTCTATAGCTACTTGCATTCCATGTGGAAAGCAGATAAACAGGGGGTGTAATAAATTTGATCAGCAGTAATTTTCTATAACTCCACTACATAATCATGCAAAAAAAAATTATTGCAAATTGTATGAAGAAGAAAAAAAATATATAATGGAATGTTCTTCAGCTGCTCAAGGAAGTTCAAAATGTAGCTTATTGATTTCAAAGAAGAAATGCGAAATGCAAAAACAGATGTCTGTTGAAGATACTTTTACATCAAAGAAGATATGGGATATTAATGAAGAAATGTCTAAGCAAAAAAAAGAAAAATTGCTGTTATGAATGCTTTAGATAATCAACCATTTAGTATAACCAAGGATGATGGATTTATTGGTCTAATGACTTTTTTACAACCAAGATACCTAATCCCAAGAAGGCATTTTTTGAGACAGCAATTCCTCAATTGTATGATCAAATTAAAAAAAGGTTTTTAATGAAATTTTAGTCAAAGATGGGACTGCTAATATGTCACTAGGCAGTAAACATATTCAAATAACATCAGTTCATTGTACATTTCACATATTGCAGTTTGTGATTAAGGATGCAGTTTTATCTCAAATATCAGTGATAGATTTATTAGCTAAACCACATCGAATAGTAGGCCATTTTAATCATTCATTAAAGGGATGTACAGAACTTAAATTAATGCAACAACAACAAAATGAAAGCACACCTCTACTTTTGGTTTGAAAGATTATTGATCCATTATTGATCCTCACTACAAGCTCAAATTTCTTCCTGTTGATAAGAGAGAACAAGCGAGATCAATGCTATTAGATGCTGTAGTA